AAGCGAACACAAAACACGACAAATAAAGTGAAACAAGATGTTCTATGAAAAAATAAGAGTATGAACATCAATACATCAGATGATTTCGTCTCAAATTATCTGATTGTGAATATGCAATTCATGGTATCAAAATAGAACCATAAGTGTGGTGGTGTCCATTTCAATATTCCTGGTCTCTTAAGAGCATTTACCTTGTAACATCGCATCAATATCCTAATCTCGTGCTTTTTTAGATAACTCTAATCATTTGCATATTCAATCGGTTACTCTTCTATTGTAAGAATTCGATTACCTCNTTTTAGACCATCCACCCATATAAAAGATTTTCAAGCTGTAACGCTGAGAACTCAAAAAACGACATCAAAAAGTGATAAGACAATAAGAATGACAATGAGAAAGCGTCGAAAATGAAATCTTAGAAAGGAACCAAGCAAGCAACACTAACACAGTAACGATGTCGTCAGCTAATTTAGCTTACAACAATCGAATTTATTCCATTAGATGAATGATTGCAATTTCATGGAAACGATTAGACTGATACATTTCGAATGAATCGAACAACCGATATCATACAATTCGTGAATTTTTAGCACATTCAGTTGATTTTTTTTTGCAATAAACCAACAACAGTTAAGATGTAAGAAATTGTAGGGTTGTAGTGTACGGAAATATTGGTGGAAAGTGGAAATTGTATGGACTCATAACAGGATACGGAGCGCTTATTGGCGGTATTAACCGTAGATCGAGTTGCTCGATAGCTGACGGTGCTGTGATGGTTGATGCAATTGTGACTGGTGGTGCTGGTACCGGCGGTGGAAGTAACCTGAAATTAAAATTTTTATCGAGTGATCGAATAAATGCGGAGCTATCATCAGAAAGGATAAAACTTATTAAGAGACTGGTCAATATTCCTTGTATTATCGCATCAATATCCTAATCTTCGGCTTTTTTTAGATAACTCTAATCATTTGCATATTCAATCATGTTCTCTTCTATTATGAGGAAGCGATTACTTCAAAGCTTCATTTCGACATTGCTACAATACAAGGGAAATCTGCCGGAAAGCTCGATGGGAAAATTAATTCTGTTAATGTTACAGTTAAAATCTCACAGTTCTTCACCATCCCCCATATAAAAAATTTTCAAGCTGTAACGCTGAGAACTAAACAACTCAACAACGACATTAAATTGTGACTTATTCTGTCATTAATCTAGGGATGAAGATGAATGCAGTTAGATGATGTGTTGATAATGCGGGATATGAAATTACGAAGATAAATAATTTTTGGTAGATTATTCCGAATAATTACGAAAACAAATCAATGAATTATTGGTGATCAACTTGGCAAATCATATTCCTTCTCGAGAACATTATGGTTCATCTTACGAAGTATCAATTCAACATTTCATGAGGTTTCCCCAGTTCTTTAGTTACCTTTCCCGATGTGGATGGTCATCTTCGAACCGATGAGCTCCATACATAGAGAATAGTTCAAAATAACAGCTAGGTGCGACGGCAAACAGCTAATACATCTATATCTATATCGCAATACTATTGGATTAGAAAACAATACGCGCATTACGATAGGAGCAAGCAAGATAAAGGATGATTAATCAGTCGTTCAGCCTATTGGAAGAAGAAGGAAGGACGCACGATTGAAGTTGTTTATCTGCACTGAATCAGGCAATATTTTGAATGTGTAGAAGAAGGGAGCGAGACAGCACAACACGGAGTGTATGTGAATGTGCATGAGAATGTGTATGGTTATGAAAAGAATGATTGATGTGTTCACGACGCATGCATGAGACTAAAACGAGTCGGCGACCGGCTGCAATCANATCTTGTGATTTTCTAATATTGGATAATGATAATGTGATGGAATAAAAAGGTGATAATTTTAGACGACATAATTGAAAAATTGATGAAAGTTGACGTTTCCTAGTAGAGCCCAGCCTATCGATATTGAAATGAACAGATAAGAAGAGACAGAAAGAGAATCAAATCAAAGAATTATTTCAAGTG